ATGACACAGATAAACTGTCCTCATCCTACAAAGTACTTGAGCGCTTGTGTCTAAAAACACAGCTCGGTGGCATTCTGTCATCCCTGAAGCAGTGGTATTTAGACTGCACAGTGGGATAAAGGGGGCAGATTAAATGCCTTTGGATGTGAAAGCTTGGCATTAGCTTCAGTGCTTACTGTATCTGCTTGAGTGAATCTGCAACCGCTTTGGTATCTTAAGGTGCCCCGCCAGCCGGTGTGTGTGTTGCCAGATAGATTTGGCACTGTGCTTACAAAGAAAAGATTGGAGACGGAACGTGAGCTCCAGAGCGTGTCAAAATGCGCTTTGATGACATGGAGCAGCAGGTAACGCTGCTCTTTTCCTGTTTTGGATGTATTACTATCTCTATTGGTTTTTATCTGCCTTTTTGAATCGTTGCGTCATGCGTTTTCTTCCTCTGTGAATTCACATTCATAGAACTGTGCTATCTAAGACTACAGGATGAATTCATTGCAGAAAGGTAAACATATATTTTGGAAGGATGCTGTGCTACAGAAGAAAGTTTAATTGGTTAGAAAGTGGTTTTGCTATGCGTCAGTGCTGATGGCTTCTTAATGAGATGAAATTGAGAAGACTTTCATTTCGGGAAGCTTGCACAGATCATATTATTGACATTTTTTTTGTCCATCTTAACCTTTTTTATGGTCTGTTTACACTTGAGTTTAGCAACTTTTTTTCTGGTGTCACACAAGATGCCATGTAAACTTTTACCCATAAATGTATAGTTTTGTTGCAAATATTTGACAAATTATCTCAATAACTCAAAACTACTGTAAAAAAAATATTTTCAAGATTTGTTATCACAACATTTTTTCTTTTGTCAAATCAACTTAAATAATTTATTTAGTTGAGAACTTATTATTTTGAGTTTCTGATGATTAAATTAATCTCCTTCATTGTATTAACTCACTTTTTCCAGTTAAAGCAACTTCAGGTTACTTACTTTAAGTTAAACCAACAATATTTTTTACAGTGAAGGGACCCAACAAAATTCATACTCATTCCCACTCTGATTTAAATGTGCATTTAGTGAAAGTCTCACCTTTGATTTGATTTTTTTTAATATGTACTGTATATATTTTGGATTTCTTGGACCTAAGGCCATCTGAGTAAAGATTAAAACACTGTTAAATATTTACATTAAAGGCTTATGTAACATGCTCCTTTATAGATACAATAATATACACCTTTTTGAATAGGAATATGTTTAGTTTTGCTGGAATAAAGGCTCTAGAAAGGAGAAAACAGTGAGAGGCAAAAGAGAGCATCCAGTCCTGTGCGCCCTCTGTAAACTATTACCTACCTCATTTCTCATAATCATACCTGTGCCCTCACTTAAAGAGGTCCGCGGTGCCTCTACATTAGATCTATATTAAAAGACCAAAAAGGGCCCTTCATGAAATTCTGAAAATTTGGCCTCTCCATCCCTCAATAAAGGAGTCTGAGTGTGAGGTTCATTTATAAGCCGACCATGTCGCAAAATCGATTTAATCCAGACAGATTCCATTAGATTTATACATTAGAGCACTCCATCCCTGCTCCTCAAAGAAGAGTAAAAAACAGGATGGAGTGAAAGGAGTACCATTAACATGGAGAGGTGCATCGTAGCGTTTGAAAGCTTGTTGGAGTGGGATACAGACCAAAGGTTTGTCATTTCCATTTTCATTCAGCAGGCACGGAGAAGTAAGGCTACACAGGACCAGAGCTGCTCAGCTCCACAACCAAATTCATCAGCTCATGCATACACATCAACAAACTAGATAAAAAAACAGTAAGGGAAAGAGGAGGACAGACACTGAATGAAAACATGGCTGGCATTTACGCACAGATATTTACAGATATGACAGTCTGCCTGACAGTTCACGTTAAGGTCTATTTGGGGTAACAGCTAGCTGACTATCGCGCTTTTTACATGTCTTTTTACCAAATAAATTATTAAATACAATTTCAAATAAAATACTGATTTCAATTTAAATTATTTGGTGAACTGAGATGCACACAATTCACTTGATGTTCTAATATATCAATTTATGTTTAGTTATTCTGCAATAATTGTTTCTTTGTCATCTATTCTCAATTATTTTGCAGTACTTAGTTTGTAAAATCATGTTCTTTGCTTGTTCTCAGTTTGAATTTTGTTTGAATCGAAAGAATAGAGTCTACATTGGCCTAATGCTACTGTACTTTTCTCTGAATTATGGTTAATCGTTTTATCTCACTTATCGTGAAAATATTGTGGGAAGAATTTAACAATGTTGATTCTTAGCCTGAGAATATTGGTAGTATCATGAGGGATCATATTGTGATACTTTTCTTCTCCCTATCTTCAACAATATTTGACATTGACTTTTTTTACATGACTCTAAATACTAGCTTTGTCAAATATTTTTGTTTAAAAACCTCTAAACTGTAAAATGATCAGCTGTCCCTGGCATCAGATTGCCTACATAGCTGTGCTAGCTCACATCACAGTTTTATACTGTATATATTGTGTAGGCAGCATTGGTCTCTCTCATTTGATTCTCATTGTATGCACTGAGACACTTGTTTTCAGTTTGGGATGAACTATCCCTTTAAGTAAAGCAAATAGGTTTGAGGTGAACCTTGTGTTGAATTTCTCAGCTGTGTATCCTTTACATGTGAAACAAACGTTCCCGTGAGACCTGCGCAGACAGTAGTTTTGTCCTCTACTGCCACTGGACATATAAGAAAGTCGAGCTGTGCACAGGGTTATGCATTACAGTATATGAGCTGGGGATGTTTTATCTCTATGATACACATCTGTGTGTGTGTTATTCACCCTCAGCTATGGCACTGTTTCCTGGAAGATGAAACGCTGTAACTGTCATGATTGACTCTCAGACCAGTTCAACAGACACTTCATTATTCAAGGAGAGAGGCACAGCAACCCACCCCCCACACCCTCTTCCTCGTTCTCTCAGACCTCTGTTTTTCTGTCTCTCTCTCTCCAGTGCTGGCTTTCCAATCTTCCCTGCACTCAGTTGTTGACAAGCAATTTGAAGTGAGCCTAAAATTAAACACTATCCTGGCAGTTGGGGGTGCTGGTGAAGAGAGGAGTAGAGATTCCAGCTCCAGCTCTGTGTGTGGGAGTGTGTGTGTATGTAAGCGCAAGCGACTGGCTAGGCAATTGATGTGATAGTTTTGTGGCGTTGGTTATTTCCGCCTGCAGAAGCAGGGTGTTGTAGCTGCACTTTAGCTAGATGGCTTCATACGCGTGTTGTCGAAAAGCCGGTTCTGTCAAGAGTAATAAGGTACGCGAGTTCAGTGTTTTTAAAATCTTTTCGGTTTGGAGGAAAGTTAGACTGAGTGGGGTCGCTTCCAACTTCTGTGGCAGTTCTCGCTTTCAGTCTGTGTTGATTTTTAATGAGTTTCAGCCCAATATTTTTGGCTGGTTTTGTAGTCTGAATATTTTAACATTGATAAGTTTAAGAGCTTAAAGTGATAGTTCATTCAAAAATTTAAATGTTGCCATTATTTACTCACCCTGACATCATTCCAAGCCTGTATGACTAATATATATATATATTTTTTTTTTTGTAGAACACAAAGTAATTTGGAAAGGCTTTTTTTTTGTCCATAAATGAAACTGTTAAACTTTTTTTCATCTTGATTTCTCTTGCAGATATTCCAGTCACTTGAATTGGCTCATAATGAAAATAAAAACACATATTCAGAGTCTCTATAGTATTTAATATGATTGAAAGTTGTAGCCTTCACGAATGTCAGACAGTGATTTGAAAATGCTCTTTTAAGAGAAAGCAACAGAAAAGAACTTTCTGTTCTCTGAACTCAAATTCATAAGAAAAACATGTCAAAATCTATCTCCAGAACACAGGTTTTTTTTTTTTTTTTTTTGCATTTTGCATTTTGGTGTAAATTCATCCGTCTAACAAGGTATAGTTTTGTATTAAGCCAGTTTTAAGGGTCACTTCTTGTTAATAATTCAAATGAATAATTTTCTAATTTTTAAATAATAATTTTTAATAATAATAAAATCATTTTAAATAATAAAATAATAATCATTTTTGCTTTCCAAGGCTACATTTATTTGATCAAAAATACAGTAAAAATAAAATATTAAGATAATCATATTGTGAAATATTATTACAATTTAAAACTTTTTTTCTATTTTAATATATTCCAAAATGAAATGGTGTCAAAGCTAATTTTCTAATTTGCTGCTCGAGTAAACTTTTCTGTTATTGTCAACGTGGAAAACATTTGTGCTGCTTTAATATTTTTGTGGAAACTGTGATGCATTTCTTTTCTTTTAGTATTCAGTATATTAAATATAATCAATACAACGAGCAACAGAACATTATAGCGTTTTTATTAACTTTTTTAACCCTATAAATGTCGTTAAAATTTGATCAATTTTGATCCTTTTTATGAATAAAATTATTAATTTATAAAAAAAAAAATAAATAAATAAAGACTTACTGACCCCAAAATTTTGATCAATTTTGATCCTTTTTATGAATAAAATTATTAATTTATAAAAAAAATAAAATAAAAATAAAGACTTACTGACCCCAAACTTTTGATCAATTTTGATCCTTTTTATGAATAAAATTATTAATTTATAAAAAAAAAATAAAAAAAATAAAGACTTACTGACCCCAAACTTTTACTTACTTTTTACTTTAATTCACTTAATATTTCAGTGCTGTAAGGGCATTAGAGTAAGCACATCTCCTGTGGTAACTGATAACATGTCACTCCATGGAGCTCAAGTTGCATTTAACCCAGAACATTCCTTTAATCTCATATTCCAACTGATCTCTCTTAATCTATTCTTTTTGAGATTTAACCTCTGTGAAAGAGTCATGCAGTCCACTGTCTACCCCTCTCATTCAAAAGGACTACTGACCACCTGGGACTGTCCTGACATCTTCCTTTTAACTAATGTGCCTCTCTCTCTCTCTCTTCTTCCTCTGCAGATAAACCTGTTCACTTCACACCGGCTCCTCCTCCCGATGGTAAGTCCCATAAGAATTCTCTTGACCAGAGTGTTTTCAACCTGCCCAGATAATGATCTCAGCTCAGGCCCGTTTGCTGTTTGAAGTGGGTGTCCTCGCCACGTCGCTTCCCATCGTCTGCTTGTGTGTAGCCTGTTAACATGGTCAGCGAGAAGCAGGGTGGAACATCTGCTTTGATGTAGAAATCTCCTGACATCTTGATTTATCTGGACCGGTGGGATGCAGGGTGGCTGACCTCTCGGGTGTGCGGCTAAAGTTTTCCCACATGAGAGGCTGCTCCGTTTATTTCTGAAGCTGATTAGCTGCTTGCTTTTGCCAAGTTTATGAATATAAATCTCAGTATTAAATGAGGTATTGTTTCTGTCGTTGTCACCATGCAATGAGAGTCATTAATTATACAACAACAATTTATTGGCAAATGGCATATCTCTGCACAGATTAATTGGGAGAAACAGCTGGTTTCCCCACTCTGTTAATGAATATTTATATGCGACAACATGAAATGGGCTTTGGAGGTTACTCCTGAGCTGCTGGCAGTGGAGATGCTTCTCTTTATGAGCTGGAGGGAGCTTCATTATGGACACCGTTGTAAATACTCAAAACAAAATAGCTGCATGTGTGTGGGTGTCGTCGGTATTAATGTGCCGAAATTACATGTCGTATAATTAACTCCAGTGCACACGTGCAAACAGTTTGAACGATTTCAGTGCGGTTGTCGTCACCGAACCAGACCTGAATGTCCAAAGGAGTAGCAAACAAACAATAATGAGCGATGAGTAATGTTTTATAGATTTGTTTTAGTTTAGTTTTCGTTTAGAATTAAACTTTGTTATGTTTTAGTATTTACATTTAAATTTTGTAATTTTGTGTGTGTATATAAATATATATGATTAATCTCATTCATATACTGATGCGTTTGAGTGAGTTAACTGACCCGCTAATAAATCAGCAGGGCTTGACATTAACACCCGCATTTGATTTCAGCAGTGGTGTGTAACGCAGTCAGTCCTACTTGCCACTTGAGGCAGGTTGAGTTTTATATACGATATAGGCTTTACATTTTTTAATTGCAGTCTTTTAAAAAGTTATCTGAATTAATAAACTAAGTGCAATATTGTGTTGTCAAAAATATCGATTTTTCGATACATGCACTGTAAAAAAAATGTTGTTGGTTTAACTTAAAAAAAGCAAGTAACCTGGTTGCCTTCATTTTAAGTTAATTGAACTGGAAAAAGTGAGTTTATACAATGAAGGAGATTGATTTAATCGTCAGAAACTCAAAATAATAAGTTATCTGAACTAAATAGATTATTTAAGTTGATTTGACAAAAGAAAAAATGTTGTGATAACAAATCTTTAAAATATATTTTTTTTACAGTGTGTCGATACTGAAATGGCTTTTAATACAACTTTTCCTCAGAATAGATACATGGTACCAGCTGCGCTTTCTCCGACAGCAATATGACACACAAACCTGCCTTCCCTCTCTCACTAATTTAATTTGCTCTGGATGAATATCGTTAAAAAAATCGAACCTTTCATTGAAGTAAAAGAATTAGAAGTGGAGGGGAAATCACATTATGAAATAAATGTTTTTTTCTCCAAAACACTTAAATAAACACATACATATCAACTCAAACTTTTATGTTAGATGCGATTAATTGCGATTAATTGATTTGACAGCACTAATTTAAATCATTTTTATCTTTATAATTGTTTGTATCAGTAGATTAAAACTGCATTTGAAGAAACGTCCCTGCTGGGCCGAGGCTGGATTTTTGCAGATTAATTGCACAATCACCTGCTTCATAGGATGTTCTGTCTGAGGGCTCGAGGAAAGGCTTGTGTTGAAAAATCCATTTTGAGATTAATTTTATTTCGCAGAAGCTGCGTAAAAGGCAATTGTTATTATCTCCTTGAAACACTGTCCACGTGGCAATGCTAGGTAATTATGTTTGATTGATGTTTTGATTAACCTTACTCTTTACCAAGAGATCGGAAACTCATAAAACGTTACCTAAAATGTATACGCCTGACTCCTAGAGAAATAGAGGCAATATACACTTCTAACTGCTTTTTAATAGAAGTTTAATGACATTAGAGATTGCTTTGAAACCCTGCAGTTCTGCCGAGAAATTGCGAGGTGCCAAGTGAAGTCACAAAACATTCCTCCTTTGATGCTTTCCGAACCGCGGGCTATTGATCACACTGCACGTTTTCGTTACATGGATGTTTCTTTTTTTGTTTCCTCTCTAGCCGAGTGTTTAAAAGCCACAGCCAGCTCTTAATTACATTTCCGATTGTTCTGCAAGTTCTCAAACCGACAGTTCTTTATGTGCCAGACCTTCACAAGCCCGCAGAGAAGCTCTCCTCCCAGCTATCTCATCCACAGCCCTGCGGCCGCTGTCTTCAGAGGCCATTAAGCGTCAAGGCAGATCGGTTGTCCAATTACACTTCCATCCCCAATTCTTCATTGCCATATTAATTTGTTACAAGCCTGAGATGTACTTATATAAAAGCCTGTGCATTAGGAAAATAAGCATGAGAAGGAAAACACGTCCTCCATTCCAAGGGCATAATGAAATTCCCAGACCAAATTATCCACAGATATTTAATTAAATGGAATCACATCACAGACATCCAAGTATCCCGCTATTACCAGCACAATTGAAGCATTTCCCTTTCAAATAACAGAAACCAATCAGTGTCGAAGTTTCTGTTCCAACTCAATAAAAGATGTTTAAACACTAGCTGAAACCTGACAAAGCGACCTTTAATTAGCGTCATTTTTGTCGGCCGCTTGTTCGCTGTCTTTAAGCCGATGTCCTTTAGAGTTTCAATGTGAGCGGCAAATCGAACGCTGCCAGATTCTCAAACCCAGGGCCATGTTGCCCACACAAAGGTCATTCGTGTGGCAGAGATTTGGCAGAGCTTTGTCCGGTTAATTATCTCTCTGGCGTTTTAGAAAGTTGGCTTGAGGAAAACATCTTGCTTTCAGTGAAACAAATGTTCGTTTGTTTATATCCAACCCACTTACGACGTTGTGTGCGCCAAGCGATAAACTTGAGGGTATTTTGTACTTGGAATGCCCTTGGTTTGGCCACGTATGAATGTTATTTTTAGAAGGAGTCGAAGAAACAATGACAGGATTGTGTTGGGTAGTTTATAACCATTAGATCAGATGTTTGACCAGTTTGAGATTTACGTATGAGAAGATGTCGCCTGTAGCAATAGGTCACCTTGCATTCCCACTTTAATTTGGGCCATGTTGGAAATGAGATGATGAGATACAGGCATGGTAACTTAAACCCTCCTTGCCGTCTCCTACACTTCTCGGCATGTGGTACTAATGAATACACTCCATCTGAATGCATCCTTCCGTTTGGCGTTTGTCACAGCGAGTTTTTCCCCTCGGGGCCGAGCTGTACCTGCAAAAAAACATAATAGCAGATTGAATTGAGTAGGTGGTGGAATGTAGGATGGAGATGTTTATGTGGGCCCGAGCTGTGGACTTACTTTCAGAGACCCTGCCAAACTTTCTTTAGCTTTGAAAAGCTGAAACGGCTTCTTCGGGAAAGTAGGAATGATAATAAATAAAAGGCAGGGCTTGTGTAATTTATTCAGCCGTTGCTGTGTTCTTGACAGAAGGAAGCAGAATTAATTATTACCAGTCTCTTATCTTAATTAAATCTTTTCATGTCATGGATTTCACACAAAAGAGCCCGAAAAATCATGTTCATCTCCTCTTTTTTGTGGTTTTCCAGAGGACGGTGCATATCAAGATATCAAATATGTGGCATAAATTCATCTGGGGATTAACTGTTATACCTATCTCCGGCTCTTGTCGAAGTTTTCGAGTTTGACATTACGCCGGGAAGTTTTGTTGCCCTCTGTGCTGTCTGAACATGAATACAACTGCGAGATTCTCGAGTCTTTTTAGTTCTGTAGAATCAGCATTTGCTTGCATAAGCAACAAACAGAGCTTGTCGTGGAAAGGAAATCAGGGGAGGGGTGGGCACAGCTTGTTTTGATATTAATCTGTCTAACATATTCTTGACACAACTCAGCAGTGTTCAGAGCAGAAATGGAAGCTATTGATTTTTGGAGGAGAGAGATGGCAAGTTTACGCATTGAGGCTAAGAAAGTAGATCTGGAGACGTGGCTGGTTTGTTTCAGAGGGTCGTGAGGAAGGCAATTCATATTGACATTCGCATCAGTGAGGAATTGTCACAGCTCTGGTTTTACCTGGACTTCAGATTCAGAAAATACTGTATGCTCTTAGTCTTTTGTGTTCAAGTCAGACGGATAATACATAGTGTCCCTAATAACGAAAAGAAAAACTATCTTTGTATTAATCTTGGTTTCTTATGGTTTCGAAAAACATTTAAACCATTTTTAAGCCAAGTTTCAAATTAATGACTGTAAAATGTCATGTGGTGTGTAACCAAGTAAAAGTCATGTATTAAAGGGATACTCCACTTTTTTTTGTTGGAAATTTGGAAGTTTTACCGTTTTCAAATCCATTCAGCCGATTTTATGGTATTTAGAATAATATCAGTAACCAGACCATTTCTGGTCTCATTGACTTCCATAGTAGGAAAAAAATATACTATGGAAGTCAATGAGACCAGAAACTGTCTGGTTACTGATATTCTTCTATATATCAGAAAATCGGCTGAATACATTCGGAAACGGTAAAACCCAATTGTTTCACTCTGGGGGAGTAGTAAAATAAGCCTATTTCCAAAAAAGGTGGAGTATCCCTTTAATATCTTAGGCCCCGTCCACACCAGCGTTTTATCTGCGTATTAGAAATGATCTCCGTCCACATTAAAACGACTGAAAAAGTGGATCACGTGACCATTCACCAACACTGGGCATGCGCGTGCCGGTGTAAACAGTGAATGACGAATCAGGGAAGGATACGTCATGACTGATAACACCCAATCATAGAGCCGAGGGTCAGCCTCTGCGTCAGCATTTCTAAACTCCACCGTTTT